TTCACAAGCGCTTGATGAATTAATTGTGCCGGGTAGGCAATTTATACGACTGACGAATCATGGGTAGTAACGCGCGACACGCGATGTGGTAATATTACGTATAAATTAATCATGCGTCATGAATTTTGCCATCAATCTTTTGCATTTATTTATTTATTTTTTTTCAATAAAAAATTAATAATCCATGAGTGGTATTGTTCAACAATGTGTTTATGATGTATACAAAAATGTTTTCTTTCGTAATCCCGAATACTAGTAAAAATTTCAGTGATCTCCAAAACCACCCTTACTATTTACCTTTGATGGCTATCGTACGCGCTCGTAGGCTATACAGTGCACCATAAATAATCTGCACGCTTGTCTTTTGATTACTTTTTTTTTCTAGCAAGCATTAGTTTATACACGTTACCGTACAACTCTAGGCTGAAATGTTGCCATTCAATCGGAAAATGGAATTGAAGAAAAAAAAAACTCAGCTGGCAAAGCGCGAGGATTTCAGCAGATTCAATACTTTTTGATCGTAATCGTGAAAGTTAATGATGAAGATGCTCACGCAGAGGGTAACGAAGAACCGGAAGAAACAGCAAAGAAAATAGAGCAGAGAGAAGAAATTGCCAATGAAACAGCAGAGCAATACAAATTCTCTCATTTCCCGGGCGAAAACGTGTGTATACAGGGTGTTCTTGGGCAGTGATAATGAGATCAGAGTGCCCCGGGGCTACTCGAGTGAAAAGTCACGGGGCGATCACCCACGAGGGAGGGAAAACAAGAGCTCGATGCACTTGAAAAGAAAACGTATGATTGTATATGCATGTGTACGTATTCACTTGTCCGTTAGTCACCAAAGTCGCGCTACGTATAGACAAGATTCGATCACTCGCGCGTCGAGGGCTGCACTACTTACCGCCATCGTTGTTCTTCCTTTTTGTTTTTTTGTCTCGTTTCGTGATTCCCTCGTTCTCACTGTGTCGCACGTGCGTCCGAGTGTTAAAACGAAAACATGTCTCGCGGGATGAGGAGTCCCGGGAGTCAACTTCTTCGTGAACCCGCGTGATCGGGCATTTATAGGATTCACCCGCGCAGCGGCCGATCGGGGAGGAGTGGGGCCCGCCACGAGTGGAGGAAAGACGAAGAAGCCTCCAATGGTCCATCAGAGAGGCGCGATTATTATTACCATAGGCCTGGGATAATATGCCACAAGCGGCGGTAGCAGCATCCCAGCGGCGCCTACTCGCTGAGAGTGGGGGCGAAGAAAGGTATACACGAGTGACCATCGGAGATGATGATGATGATGATGATTGCTCGTTGTGTATACACTCACTCTCTCTCCCTCGCGTATTGGGTTCCTCTGCGAGGGCTTACTAATTGCCTCTTTATATGTATATATATATATCATTGTGGCGAGTTGGTCAGTAAAATCTCGGGTCACCGGAGGAGCGATTATACCGTAAATCTCTAGGACGATCTCTTTTTCGATGGTTCTGACCTTTCCCCCCCCCCCCCCCCATAGCGGCAGATGGGCTAATGTCAGGTACTGTTAATGCAAATAATTAAATGTGTACGATTGGGTACGGAAGCAAGGCTCGGCCGAGTTGTTCATTTAACTACAAATGGTTATTAAAAATTCAACGTGTCGAAACGCGGATTGATTTTCAATAATATTAATACTTATACGTACACTTCATGTTGAATTTAAAATCACGTAAAATCCCCCCGTGTGTGCGTGATTTTATCGACTTACCCTCGTTTTTGTTGTGAAAAACACACATTTTGTAAAGCCTTAATGTTGCCATTTGTATTCGTAGATGAAAAACATTCGGAAAATCGTGTACCCACGTAAAAAAAAAAAAAAATCTCAAATTTGGGGAAATTTTGATTCTACTTACGTAGTTGTAAAATTTCACAATAAATTAATATTCTGTAACAATTGTGGCTCGACAAAGTTGCTAGTACCGAGCACCCAAGCCAAGTGACAACGGAAGAACGAGAAAAAAAAGCACAAAATTGTCCAAACGCTCCTTTGCGTATATTTCCGCTAATCTAATGTTTTACAAGCTGCGGGACATATTTTTAATATCCTACAAGTTTTTTTGCAACTTAAATAGCTACACGACACAACGATTAGCGAACATCTAACGGCGCACCGTAATTTCCCACAAAATAACTGTAAACACCCAAGTTGGCAACGAATCAGCATACATCGCCAAACGGGCAAATCATGCATCATTGTAAAAGTTGGCGTGCAACATCAGAATGCTAATTTCCATCCCAACGATTCCAGCAGCTAACACAATGGGCCGCAAAAGACTACGAGCTCAAGTCATCCTTTCCTCGTTGTAAAACACAGGTACTGGCGCCTGAGTTTATTCGACGATTGTATTTTCACGCTCGAAGGAACACTTGCGATTTATTGCGGGACGTTTCAACGCGTTAAGTGTTTGGACGGGCGTTAGCGCGCGTGTGCCAAAAATCTACTTTGCTCTCGGGATTTCCGAGATTACATTCACCATTTTATTATCTCGAGGTCTTTTTTTAGCTCCTTTTGGCACTGTGGAATCAGAATGTACTAGCATCATCGAAATTTGGACGTTTTAATGATATTATTCGTATATATATATAAATACCAAAATTATCAATACCGTGTAATACGCTCATGATATCATTAATAAATGTGGATAAAAATCTTTTTATAGTGGAACAAAAAAATGTAACGGCATAAATAAAAGTTTCCACGTACGTATATTTATTGGTCCATGGGCTCGGATAAAGGACACGTAGTTTCCAAAGATCGTGAGTTACGTACCCAATGGCATACCAGCGCTATTTATCCCAGTGAAAATCATCAATTCAAGTCTCTGTTTACAAACATAAATGCACGTATAAGCACGATCGAAAACATGAAAATTTACATTGATCAACTTGACTTGGATATACCCACACGAAACTGTTTGACCAATGCGCCGATCGACCCGTTCGCGCTACCCATATCTATCCGGCATCCTCTCCACGTTAAAGTTGCATTTGTTTTCGTATTACAGCAACAGCCCATACATTATGAAGAATTTGAAGTCGGACGCGCGTGTTTGAATAACAGATAGAGAAACGTACAGGCTCACCGTGCACTCGCGCGTTAACCGCAGGCATCGGTCCGAGCAATAGGATTGTGGAAATGTTCTACAGCTTGTCAACCAGACTGATGTTGTATATAAGTACACGATCCAATATCGGCAGAGCAAAGTAACGATTTAATCGTCTTTCAGTCGTTTTGTTTTGTTTTATCGCCATAGAGTTGTATAGTTGACACCTTTCGTTGGCACTTCAGCCAAAGACGAGTGTAGAACTCTCGCTTCCGATGTTGCTATAAAGTTTATCACGTATTTGGCAAATGGTCACGGTGACGAAAACTTTTATGTACCCACCCTCATGGGCGCTCTGCTCGAATGTTTATTTACTTACCGGGACGAGGACAAAGGAGCATGATTGATATGTTACCTGTTGCAAAAAAATTTACGCCAAATGTATCGATGTTGCACGTTGGCTCTGGTTTAAGCCTAGTTATCGGAGATTGATGGAGCTAATCGGTCATTCGTCATAACTTTCTTGTGTCTCCTGTCGATGCGCGCACGCAACCTCGATCGCGTATTTGTATATAATATAACGTATACGTGGGTTACGTGCATTGAAAAATTTATATCCCCAACGCACGCGCGTTATAAAATTATTGCAAATGAATGTTTTTCTTTTTTTTTTTTTTTTTACGCTCCCCCGGGCAAATAAGCCAATCGGTGGAAAAATTCCTCATCATCGGGATAATTAATTAGCGGATAAAGTGTTGCTGACTTTTCAATCTGGGAATGATTGAATACGGTTTTTATCATCATCCGTGGTAAAATGAGTCGTACGTACGATACTCACAACGCCGCAACACGTTTTTATCGAGCGATTGTTCCCGGTGTGAGTACGCGAAGAGAGAGAGAGAGAGAGAAATTGTTTCGATCCAACTTGTACGATGGCGCTATGATGTAGATCTAGTGTCGAAATTACGCGTCTCAATGTTCGTGGATATAGTTAATCGGGACTTTGGTGCGATAAGTCAAGCGTGAATGCGGCATTTGTTAAATACCGTCTCGATGTCAACTAATGCCCAAAGTGCGCGCATGCTCGGCAAAACGTAGCCTCGGGCCATTCCAAAGTGTGCCTTGTCGATGGGCAGCGATGCGAGATTTTTTTTAAATCGAGAGATGTATAAGTAGCGACGGGGAAAAAGGTTCGGCTGCCATCTTCTCGGAAACGCGGGACCTTGGAGTCTACGGGTTTTGAAAAAAAATCCCCCCCCCCCCCGATCAAGGACGGTGACTTTTTCCAGAATACCTTTTTTTTACGACTTTTGCCCGAGCCCGCCATCCTTTTTCCTTTTTTTTTTTTTTCCTTCATGAATTTAATTTCTTGATTTGGTTATTGTAATTCTGACTTTTTTTCTTTTTCCGTTGAAATACAAAGTACGGTATTTGCATGCAGTTCCGAAGCATCTCGGGGATCTTTTTTTTTTCGCTTTGCTTATCATACCTGTTATAATATCAGTGACGAAATTTCGATTGCGCAAAAGCAAGTGTCCACACAAACGTGGGGTTCATCATCGTTGCTTGTTCGAATGATTATTGCAATTACGGGAGCGTTTTATTATTCGGACTGCGTGCGTGGACACATACGTATATATATTTTCTTACGATAGATTTCGAGCGATAGAATTTCATTTTCGATTTCGTCACGCGAGAATGGGACTGTTCTATAAATAAAAGTTTAATCACGGAGTTTTTTTCCTGCATCATTGGGATTCCGACTGTTTTCGGGGATAATATTTTTACCCGAGCTTAACCGTCTTTTCGTGTCTCGCTTGCGAAATTAGCGCACAAAACCGGTACAGCGTATGGGATATTAAAACGCGTTCAACAACATGCATTGTACTTTTATTGAAAAAAAAAGGTAACAAACTTTCACGTACAAAATGAAGCGATATTGTGCAAACAACAGAAGACAGGTATGTAAAAAAAAAAAGGAAGCTCAGAGGTTGGTTTTGCGTGACTCGTCAATCGTGTCGGACTGCAGCCGAGGGTCGAGGCGTGTCGGGCTCATTACGATGGACATGTTTGCTGAAGGATTCGTCGGAGCTCTCGTTAAATCAAGTATCCACCGTATCCGTAGTAGGGGTAGCCTGAAATAGTTGATTTTTCGTCAACAATTTTGAATCAACTGCAACGTCGATATTTTATATAAAAAAAAAAAACTCAACTCGTTTGAAAATTTACTTGAATAAAAAAAAAAAAAAATTGATGCATTTGCTTGAAAAAAAAAAAAAATAAAAAAAAAATAAATAAATAAAGTGGCTTCACAAATTAAGAACAATGTATTGTAGTTTGACAGAAAAGACAAATTAAAAAAAAAATGGTCCAAGCATTTAAATATTTGATTCCAAGTACATAGCAATGAACTGTAATATCTAACATGTGTTGCATTCATCCGCCAGTGAACAATTTTTTTTTTTTCAGTAGATATAGTACCACGAATCGTGATGTTTTTAGCAGAAAAAAAAATGCAATTTTTACAGGAAAATAGGCAATTATTGTGCCCAAGTATGAATTGGTGTATACTCACCGTATCCATAGCCATAGCCATATCCGACACCGTAGCCAAAGTAGGGGTACCGGTAGTAGGACGGATAGCCGTAGTAGCCGAGACCTCCGTAGTATCCCAGACCTCCGAAGTAACTAGGCTTGGCCGACACCAACGACAACAGGGCGACGAGCAAAATCGCCACCATCTGCGCGTACCAAAGGCAACACAACCATCCAATTTAATGCAGTACAAAAATAAACACGCCCACGCATTTTTCCACCCGTGATATGTAATTTATCGAAGAAATTACTCTACCCCTTATTTTCATAAGGTGCACCTGCATATACGTATACACGATACCAAAACGCAACAAATTATGAAAGTCGTTTGCGCAATCGACCTTGGATCGTTAAGTATTTATTATAATTCTCGCCGTTCATTTGCATGCAGTGGTCCGAAGATGACACTGGAGTGTTGTTCTGGACACGCGACAAGGAGTGCAGCACTAATTTATCTTCGTGCCTTTCCGCCTGATTTCAATAACAACGCCGCAACACGTTTTTATCGAGCGATTGTTCCCGGTGTGAGTACGCGAAGAGAGAGAGAGAGAGAGAGAGAGAAAAAATCCATACGGCCATCGTTTTACCTGCTTATATTCGCGTCGTTAAAATCAAATCGTTTCACTTGACCTTCTTGAAATTTTTCCCAACCAAAGGGTCGTGCCGCCTCTGCAGCTTCGCCTTTCACCGCACGCCGACGTTACAAGTTTATCCGAGAAAATCGCCTCTCCGCGTCCTCTCCACTCGTTTACTTTATTATTCACTCTTTTGGCCGTAAATTTCAAACAATCCGCGCTCACAATTTGTTGGATAAATATAATATCAGGTAAACAAATTACCGTTTAAATTATTGGTGTTTTTTTTTTTTTTTTTTTTTTTTTTTTTTTTTTTTTTTTTTTTTTTTTTNACTCCTCCTCCTCCCCCTGTTCCTCTTCCTCCTCCTGCTGCTGGTGCTCGACATTTTCTCTTCCCTCGGGCGAGTCATCTTCCGGCGCCTCCGTCTCCGACACGTTCTCTTTCGCCGACGACGCCCTCAGCGACGAGTCCTGCTCGTTGGCAACCCCCTGAGCGCCGCCGCCCTCAGCGCCACCTACCCCGCCCAAGCCCCCGTTGTTGTTCGGGAAGAAGGGAGGGTTGAAACCACCTTGAAATTGGGCTGATCCACCGGCAAAGAGTCCAAGGTTTGTCGCCCTATCGAAGCCGTTGAACTGCGCCCCTTCCCCTGTAGCCCCTGCTCCGTTATAGTTCAGGCCCTGGTATGGGCCCTGGAAGAAGTTGCCAAAGTAGGGGTTGTTGATTCCTCCGATCCCGCTGTTCGACCTGTTTTGGTGTGGGTGAGAATCGAGAAATCATCCATGCTCCCCTAAGACTTTCCAGCCAAACCCAACTAATATTACCTACCCAATGTCACCGGGTGTCCCTTGAGCGCTCGCAGCGCCATTGTAGTTCAGACCCCCGGAAAATCTGTCCGGCCGGTACGCCGGTCCGCTACTAAACGGGATCTCGTTAAGGGAAGAGAAGTAGTTCCGTTGCTGGTCGATCGACGGATTGCCGTAGTAGTTTTGCCGGAGTCGCTCGTAATCCAGGGCCGAAAAGCGCCCGTCCGCACCGAGATTGGGGTCAAGACCGCCACGAGCGCCACCTACGTTGACACCAGCTCCTCCTATTTGGCCGAAAGGCGAGAAATCCGACCCGTCGAAGGGCCGGCTCTGCTGGGCGCTCGACTTGGAATCCGTGGTTGGGTCGGTGTTGCCAACCTCGATCTCCTTGGGTCGTGGATTTGGAAGATACTTGCGAGTGATTTTCATGGTTTTGTTTTTAGTGACATCGTACTCAAGAGTTATCATTATCTACAGTGGGACTTGAACATTGGGGTACCTTGACGTTGTTGTTGTTGGGTAACAGAGCCCTGGGGTTTCCCGGCTGTACGGGTGCCAACAATTGGTTCCCGGCGTACTGTTGGTAAAAGCGTGGATTCAGGGGTAGTTGTTGTTGTTGTTGCTGTTGTTGGTTGACGAAACCATTAACGCCGGGGTAGAAGTTGGGGACGAGCTGCTGTTGAGCGTAGGGGTTGAAGCGGAACTGGTTGTAAGCGAAGTGATGGAAGGGAAGCGCTTGGTTCTGGTAGGGCACGTTGCTGGTGGTGCCGGGATTGCCGACCGGTCCAGCTTCCTGAGCAGACACCTGTCGTGGTTTTATGACCGACCGTTCGGACGAGGTTGGCTTTGCTTTGTGGTGCTCGTTGCCCAGGACGGGCTCCAACGCCGTGCCCACCGTGTGCGCAAAGTGCGATAAAATCTCCGAGGCTGAAACGTTTCAAGGTGACGACGATTGATCCTCTGATCGAGAAATAATTTGTATTTTAATTCGTAATATTAAGGAGCACTTGTTGAATAAGCAAGTCGACGGTTAACAATTGTTTCGATGAATGCCACAATGTCCTCCTCCCGTGAACAAGTGCATGAGTGCGTATTGCAATTTTTGTTTTTTTCCTTCGTCTTATTCTATTGCAAGCATAGGTATCCATTAGAAAAAAATAATATGAAGTTTGACAGTGGGACTTACGTGCAACGCCTCTGGCCGCATTCCCAAGCCCGAGAAGGCTAAGCCACGCAACGCAGCTCAGAAGTGCCTGTTGGAATTATAAATCAAGCGTTGCTCGCTGTACATTTGAGAACTCGTGTGGTAAGGATGTACAATTGAAAAATAAAAAGACAATGGGGAAAAATAAAAGTAAACCCACCCCCCCCTCTACGAGTCGTTGGATCGGATGAAGATTTACGGTAATTAGCGCCACGCAGAGGTACGTCAACACGCACACCGCAAGCGCGTGCGAAGGCATAGAACTCTTTGTGAGCAAAAAAATGTTGTTTTTTTTTTTCTTCCAAAACCCACCGAAATCTTTGAGTATCGATGATGGCCGGTCATTATCAATGATGCCATACGCGCGCTCTTTCTTCGTCATGCCCGTGCTCACCGACGTGTGTTCCATCGCGCGAGCGGCTGTGACGCAACATTTGCAAATACTATATACTTTCTCGAACACACGTCGTCATTCAAGTGATGAAGTCCCCGTCTATTTTTTTTTTCTCCCGCAATGTCTCTTCTTCGCGTGGAATCGGTTGGCTAATGGCTCAACTTCATAAAACCACAAAATTTTCAACAATGGTTAAGTAAAAAACCTGACCGGCACTGTATTCCGCCTAAATCTTGTATGGCTGGTCGAAAAAAATCTTAAGAGTTTGACGCGTGTGTAAATGAAAGCGGTACATTAACTTCACTTACGCGAGAAAACGATATAACTATTCAATTCGGATTTCTAATGCGAAGCACAAAGCTATTATTCACGAAAAAAAAGGAAGAAAATAAAAATGACGTAATTATCATTAGTGAGCACGAATACTAGTTGGGAGATGAAAAAAAAACGGGCACCTTTAGCGTGTAGTGAAGTTATATTATCATAATTCAAATGAGAAATGTATTTTTTTTTTTTTTTTACCAATCACGTACTCATTATACCTTCACTTTAATCTTAAACAGTGAAACCATTTCTCAAAATTGTCGATTTTCCATAGAAAAAATATTTTGTCTAACTAAACGCGCAAAAGAAGTCGTTTTAACGATTTATGAATATCGAAGGCGGAATATGAAGGCGGACTGAATAATTACAACGAGTCGGTATCAACTCCCGATTCAATCGTACGTATGTGTATCTCCCACACATCTTTGAATTAAAAAAACTATCTTTAATTTTCGACGCACCGGAGTAAGTATGTATATAGCCACCCTATCAATTCCAAGGGTATACGCAAATCGATGCAGGGGAAACGAAAAACTCTTACCTGCGGTGCGAAATACATCGTGGGTACGATTCATGAAGACTAAAGTGCGCGCAAGTGCCTCGATCACATTTATACTTTCTCCGTGAAGGAGGTAAAAAAGAAGAGAGTCCCTCGTGACACACTCATCGTCCATCCTGCGACGAAACCGACGACAATAGTAGAAGAAAAAAAAAAAAAAAAAAAAAAACATACTGCGAGAGGAAGTATACACACCGCGCCGACAAGTTAATGACCTCCTCCTCCCCCTGTTCCTCTTCCTCCTCCTGCTGCTGGTGCTCGACATTTTCTCTTCCCTCGGAAAAAAAACTTCCCAAGGTGGTGCACGAAAATATCAATAATGTGCTAAAAAAAAATAAAAAAATACATATATATGTGGATAATTGGTAAATCGACTCACGAGCTTGGAGCTTCGGGCCATTGCTGGATCGGCTGATTTAGTCAAAGAGGAACTGGTGCACGGAGCGTCGTCTCGCCCAACCGACCAACAGGTAAGCAAGTACAACAATGGTATATTGTAAGAACGTCGGAAAAGTGACTTTGCGAGCAGAGCCGAAGAAGAAGAAGTCGGACGCGTGTCTTTGGGTCTCGTAGCGATAACGCGCTCTTTTTATAAAGGAGCAGCGAGACAATAGACAAGCCAAAGGCTGACCATCGGCGGCACAGCGCGGGGTACATTAGCTCGGGCGGGGCGGAGGAGGCCCCTCTTTTCCCCAGAGACCTCGTCCTCGTGTGCACGTGTAATAACAAGCTTGCACTTGTCCGTATATCACTCGTGCATGCCGTACGGAGCGCGATTGCGAAACGCCGATTATGCGCGTAAATTGGTATACACATGTATGTATAGCTATGGGTAGAATTAGCCGAAAGATGGTAAAAAATCATGTTAACTGATACCTTAAATTTTTTTTTTTTTTTTTTTTTTCAATAACAGAACCACAAACAACGTATTTTGTTTAAACGTGGATCCGTGTCTACCTTTATGGTAACGAAAAATAATAATAAATAAAAATTGGTAATCATGCGTTTTTTGCGCATCTTGCGAGGAACGTTGGAAAACATTTTTATAAAGGTGTTTTTTAAGGATAAAAATGTTATATTGTGAGACATTTTTTTTCATGCCCCGATAGGTCCGGTAGTTTTTGAGTAAATAACATAAAACCACGTTTTTAGGACCATTTTTTTTTCGATATTTCATGATACATCATCCATCTAATATTATGACTAGAAATTTTAATAAAATTTGAGCTTCATAGGCTCCAATACGTACTATAAACTATAAATTTCAACAAGATCGAGCGTAAAATTTTGGGAAAAAGGGCCTTCGAAAAATGGCCATAAAAAAGAGTTGATATGTAACTTGACAGACATACCCATCTACAAATGAAATATCGATCGATCAAATTTACTTATGAAGATTAAGTTGATATTAAAAAAAAAAAAAAAAAAAAAATGAATCCAATGTCTGCCAATGTCCTGAGCTTTTTTCAATGGCCTATCGACCCTCAAAATTCATTGATACCTTCGTAATCCTCACCGCAATATTAGTCTCGGACGTAATTACGAGGAGCTAGACTGAAGAGCCTCCGTGCATTATATAGTCGAAGCTCACGAAACGCAGTAGTAAAAATATACTGTACCAGTGGTCTCCGTCATTATTTTTAAAAGTGGAGGGCGCAGCTCGGTCGCTAATTACTCCTCCCCCTCGTGTGACGTCTTGGACACGATATACATACCATATATATATATATACATGCGCGCATCGTAGCGTAATCATCGAGTTCATTTATACGCGCCGGCTCTCGTCCTCGAGGGCAGAAATATTATTACAAACGTATATGCTGCTTCTGCACAAGTCAGGAGATCCTACGTACACTTTTTGCGCAATACTTTATGGCAGAGGCTCTTGTGTACACCGGTGCATATATGAGTAGGATATACCCGCGTACCTCTATGTATACATTATATATATTTACAGGTATGCGTGCGATTACGCCACGAAGACGCTGCCGATCATTTTTCTATCCTTTTGTTTTTATTATTGTTATTTCTTTTCTTTTCTTTTTTTTTTTTTTTTCCAACGTGCACCATAGCTCGTGCAGCTGGGAGGAGGTACACCCACGAGTGTTATTATCGTTCGGAGAGTACGCGCGTGGGTGGGCGTAAAGTTGAAATTGTCGTGCTCGGTGACTTTTTTATTTTTTTTTTATTTTGTTCGTTAACGGTACGGATGTACATATTTTACGGACGGAGAGGCTTTTATTATTTATCGGTATAATGGCCGTTTCGATTTCTCAGAAGTTTGCTGGACGTGGATACATCGTTTGGGATGTTTTTTTTTTACCTGATATACTTTTCCCTCCTGTGACTGCAAAGTCATTATTTTATTTTTTTACTTTGTACAGTTTTTTTTTTTTTCAAAGACAATTAAGTAAAATTTCTTTCAACACCGTTAGATCGCCAATTACAGCGATATACAGGGAACATTAGCGAGTCCAGACGCTGATTCACCTAATGATACACTGACCCACTAAAACTTTCGACTGTCAGTCAAACGTTCTCTCGTACCTCTCACACGGAAGCCTTGAATTTTCAATTGATAAAACATTCGCGACGAGCCATAGTATAATAATACTCTCTTTCTTCACTTATTCGCGCGTGTATATGTATATAGGCACCTGTAATCATTTTTTGGAGCGCTATAAAAAATAATTACCCCAAGGAATGGTACTTTGGTGTCACGTGACAATTTTATTTCTGTACACGTAAAACTTTTCACAAATAATAATAATCCGCAGTACTACATCGTGTACCACAGTGAGATATGATAAAAAAAAAAAAAGATATACATTGGTATGTTGTACAAAACTAAGATATAACAGATCGACGTTACTCGTGTACAATACTGTTGTGGTTAAAATACTGGTCGCAAAGGTATAGACTCAAGTTTCGCCCGAGTTAGCGGCTGCGGCTTTCTCCTCCCCATCCTGTCGCTGCTGTGGCTGTTGTTTATCATCATCATCGACGAATCGGACCTTATCTTTCCTGTCTACCCTAGTTGCGGACTCCTCCTCCTCCCCCTGTTCCTCTTCCTCCTCCTGCTGCTGGTGCTCGACATTTTCTCTTCCCTCGGGCGAGTCATCTTCCGGCGCCTCCGTCTCCGACACGTTCTCTTTCGCCGACGACGCCCTCAGCGACGAGTCCTGCTCGTTGGCAACCCCCTGAGCGCCGCCGCCCTCAGCGCCACCTACCCCGCCCAAGCCCCCGTTGTTGTTCGGGAAGAAGGGAGGGTTGAAACCACCTTGAAATTGGGCTGATCCACCGGCAAAGAGTCCAAGGTTTGTCGCCCTATCGAAGCCGTTGAACTGCGCCCCTTCCCCTGTAGCCCCTGCTCCGTTATAGTTCAGGCCCTGGTATGGGCCCTGGAAGAAGTTGCCAAAGTAGGGGTTGTTGATTCCTCCGATCCCGCTGTTCGACCTGTTTTGGTGTGGGTGAGAATCGAGAAATCATCCATGCTCCCCTAAGACTTTCCAGCCAAACCCAACTAATATTACCTACCCAATGTCACCGGGTGTCCCTTGAGCGCTCGCAGCGCCATTGTAGTTCAGACCCCCGGAAAATCTGTCCGGCCGGTACGCCGGTCCGCTACTAAACGGGATCTCGTTAAGGGAAGAGAAGTAGTTCCGTTGCTGGTCGATCGACGGATTGCCGTAGTAGTTTTGCCGGAGTCGCTCGTAATCCAGGGCCGAAAAGCGCCCGTCCGCACCGAGATTGGGGTCAAGACCGCCACGAGCGCCACCTACGTTGACACCAGCTCCTCCTATTTGGCCGAAAGGCGAGAAATCCGACCCGTCGAAGGGCCGGCTCTGCTGGGCGCTCGACTTGGAATCCGTGGTTGGGTCGGTGTTGCCAACCTCGATCTCCTTGGGTCGTGGATTTGGAAGATACTTGCGAGTGATTTTCATGGTTTTGTTTTTAGTGACATCGTACTCAAGAGTTATCATTATCTACAGTGGGACTTGAACATTGGGGTACCTTGACGTTGTTGTTGTTGGGTAACAGAGCCCTGGGGTTTCCCGGCTGTACGGGTGCCAACAATTGGTTCCCGGCGTACTGTTGGTAAAAGCGTGGATTCAGGGGTAGTTGTTGTTGTTGTTGCTGTTGTTGGTTGACGAAACCATTAACGCCGGGGTAGAAGTTGGGGACGAGCTGCTGTTGAGCGTAGGGGTTGAAGCGGAACTGGTTGTAAGCGAAGTGATGGAAGGGAAGCGCTTGGTTCTGGTAGGGCACGTTGCTGGTGGTGCCGGGATTGCCGACCGGTCCAGCTTCCTGAGCAGACACCTGTCGTGGTTTTATGACCGACCGTTCGGACGAGGTTGGCTTTGCTTTGTGGTGCTCGTTGCCCAGGACGGGCTCCAACGCCGTGCCCACCGTGTGCGCAAAGTGCGATAAAATCTCCGAGGCTGAAACGTTTCAAGGTGACGACGATTGATCCTCTGATCGAGAAATAATTTGTATTTTAATTCGTAATATTAAGGAGCACTTGTTGAATAAGCAAGTCGACGGTTAACAATTGTTTCGATGAATGCCACAATGTCCTCCTCCCGTGAACAAGTGCATGAGTGCGTATTGCAATTTTTGTTTTTTTCCTTCGTCTTATTCTATTGCAAGCATAGGTATCCATTAGAAAAAAATAATATGAAGTTTGACAGTGGGACTTACGTGCAACGCCTCTGGCCGCATTCCCAAGCCCGAGAAGGCTAAGCCACGCAACGCAGCTCAGAAGTGCCTGTTGGAATTATAAATCAAGCGTTGCTCGCTGTACATTTGAGAACTCGTGTGGTAAGGATGTACAATTGAAAAATAAAAAGACAATGGGGAAAAATAAAAGTAAACCCACCCCCCCCTCTACGAGTCGTTGGATCGGATGAAGATTTACGGTAATTAGCGCCACGCAGAGGTACGTCAACACGCACACCGCAAGCGCGTGCGAAGGCATAGAACTCTTTGTGAGCAAAAAAATGTTGTTTTTTTTTTTCTTCCAAAACCCACCGAAATCTTTGAGTATCGATGATGGCCGGTCATTATCAATGATGCCATACGCGCGCTCTTTCTTCGTCATGCCCGTGCTCACCGACGTGTGTTCCATCGCGCGAGCGGCTGTGACGCAACATTTGCAAATACTATATACTTTCTCGAACACACGTCGTCATTCAAGTGATGAAGTCCCCGTCTATTTTTTTTTTCTCCCGCAATGTCTCTTCTTCGCGTGGAATCGGTTGGCTAATGGCTCAACTTCATAAAACCACAAAATTTTCAACAATGGTTAAGTAAAAAACCTGACCGGCACTGTATTCCGCCTAAATCTTGTATGGCTGGTCGAAAAAAATCTTAAGAGTTTGACGCGTGTGTAAATGAAAGCGGTACATTAACTTCACTTACGCGAGAAAACGATATAACTATTCAATTCGGATTTCTAATGCGAAGCACAAAGCTATTATTCACGAAAAAAAAGGAAGAAAATAAAAATGACGTAATTATCATTAGTGAGCACGAATACTAGTTGGGAGATGAAAAAAAAACGGGCACCTTTAGCGTGTAGTGAAGTTATATTATCATAATTCA